CTTCTTAAATAGGCAGAGTAGGGGCGCCTGGGTGGCTCAGTGGGTTAAGCCTCTGCCTTCGGCTCAGGTCATGATCCCGGGGTCCTGGGATCGAGCCCCGCATCGGGCTCTCTGCTCAGCGGGGAGCCTGCTTCCCTTCCTCTCTCTCTGCCTGCCTCTCTGCCTACTTGTGTTCTCTCTCTGTCAAATAAATAAATAAAAATCTTTTAATAAATAAATAAATAGGCAGAGTAAGCGAATTTAAGAAAACACCCCCTTGTGGATTCACCACAGAAATGAAGGCTCAATCAGCTTTTACCGATCACCTACTCTAAGCCAGCCTCAGTGAGGAACACAAGTCCAGTGACAAGGCGGTGCCTGGAACAGTCCACGTGAGACCACAAGCCCACGGAGTCACCGCAGCCACGCGGCATCACCTGGGCTTCTGAAACAGAAGAGCTGGCCAAGGACTTCCCCGATGAAGGCAACTGGAGCTTGGCGTTACTGTGATTCCTGACAGCAAGTGGTTCAGCTTGAAATGTGCGAGCAGAAATACCTGAATTAGAAGCCTGACAGCACAGCTGTTTGAGTCTGGCTTAAGTAACTTGCCCTCTCTGACCTCAGTTTCACCCACAGTAGAATGGGGGGATTACAGCACCGATTTTACCTGGTTCAGTCTTAACTTCACTATTACCGGTTTTATTAGTTGTGGTATAGTGAGCTTCAGAGAAGCTGGGACAAAAATTTCCATGTTATGCAACCAGCCAGGGAACAATCCATGTTTAAAACTGAGGTAACTGGAGTATTTTAGAACAAGGAAATGTCTACTTTACATACGCACTTAACTCAGCTTAAAATGCTTGTTCTATTGATATTCACCTACTCACTTTATGAAGTATGGGCAACTTACTTAATGTATTTAAAAAGCACAGACCCGGGCCCCTGGGTGGCTCAGTGGGTTGATCCTCTGCCTTCGGTTCAGGTCATGGTCTCAGGGTCCTGGGATCGAGCCCCACATCAGGCTCTCTGCTAAGCGGGGAGCCTGCTTCCGCCCTCTCTCTCTGCCTGCCTCTCTGCCTGCTTGTGATCTCACTCTGTCAAATAAATAAATAAAAAAAAAGCACAGACCCAAATTGCTTTCATCTGCCTTCAAAAATTAATTAAAACATAATATTGTAATAACTCTGTATGTGGACAAATGGTGACTATGCTTCTCACGGTGAACATGTTGTAACGTCCGTAACCGTTGAATACGCCGTGCACTTGAAACTAATACTGTATGTCAACTAAACTTCAATTAAAATAAGTACTTTATTTTTATTTTCTTTTTAATTTCATTTATTTATTTGACAGAGAGACACAGCAAGAGAAGGAGCACAAGCAGGGGGAGTGGGAGAGGGAGAAGCAGACTTCCCGCTGAGCAGAGAGCCTGATGCGAGGCTCGATCCCAGGACCCCAGGATCATGCACCGAGCCAAAGGCAGATGCCTAACAACTGAGCCACCCAGGTGTCCCAAAATAAGTACATTTTTTAAAAATAGTTAAGACAAAAGTAAATTCTGAATTAATTTTGAGGGAAGAATATATTAACCGTGAGGCTGCAGGGCCGAAAGACAGAAGGATGCCTTAGCACGCCTGCCTTAGGAGGTAATACTGAGGAAAAATTTAAAAGGCCACTAATAACCTCCTAGAAGCCAAATCCAAGAGCTCTGTCCATCCAAATCTTCCTTGATCTCTTAGCCAATTTGACACCGACCTCCTCCTCCACCTGCACACAGGGTGACTCTGCCGTCTTTAAGTGTCGGAAGCTCTTGGAAGAGCCCCTGGCTTTCAACAAGGTGATGAGGTCTCCCCAATCTTGATCTCCAGCCTAAACATTTGTCTTGAGCTCCAGACCTCCATCTCCAACTGCCTACCGGTCCACCTGGGCACCCCAAAAGCACTTCCAATTTAATCCATCCAAAACCAAGCTCACCATCTCCCCCTCCTCCTGTTTTCCCCATTTTGATGGGTGTCACCAGCCAGTGAGCCGCCCAAGTTAGAGAAAGGGAAGTAATTCTAGATGCATTCGTTCAATAAACATTTATTAGGCATTTACAAAATCCCTGCCCCGGCGGAGATCACGGGTGTTAAGTGAAAGAGACCAACAGTAAAATGGTAAGGAATATTGTAGTGAGAAGTGCTACGGTGCATGGGGAGGTGGGGACCCAGTGACCCGCAGAAGAGCAGGCTTGGGATGAGCCTGCTGTGCGTACCTGAGGGAAGACATGGGGGCTGAGTGCTTTTAGGACACCGGCCAAAACTTAGCAGAGGAGTGACATGTCACTCCAACTTAGATCTAGCAGCTCGCTCTGGCTGTGAACACGGCCTCTCCATCTCTTCTGGACTGCAGCCATGCCCTTACTCTAGACTGACTCCCAAGTCAGGGCCGCCGTAACTCATGAAGCCCTCTCTAGTCCATCTGTACCACTGTTCCTATCATCCCTCCCTTAAGTCAGGAGCTCTCGGTCCTCACTTGGGGCTAACGGCTTCTCATCAAGTCTCATTTGGTTCAAATCACCTGCCATACTAGCTCTGTTACCACACTCAAGAATCCGCCAATCCTTTACAAAAAAAAAGAAGAATCCCCCAGTCCTCCTTGCCTTCCTTCCCTGATCTTTCCTTTCCACTCTCACCCTTCCTAAATTCAGTCCCCTATATGCCAGCACCGCTTCAAGGCCTATGTCCTCCAGGATGGCCACTACCAAATCCCACCGCTCACATTTGGCCAACTGTTCTTTTCTTCGTGTCTCATACCCAGAACCACTTTCTCAGGGCACTCAGCACAGTAGCTAACCTGACCTGCCGTCCCCAACCACTTCCTTTCTCCCACCAGACTATGAGCTCCTAGAGGCCAGCAAGGGTCTTTTATCTCTGTGTCCCCAACTACTTAGCACAGCACCCGCCATTCAGCTGGTTCTCAACAGCCACTTAAGACCATGCTTTCACCATTAAATATGCTAATCATTTTTATTCTACGTCCTGAAATTTGACACTTAAAACCTGCCTGTACTTCTGTTTGGGATATCACTGGTCACGTCCTTGTTATATAAAGTTCTGGTTTCTTATCATATTTCATTTATGTCTCCATGTTACACAAATCCTTCAAATTAATCAAATTTTGACTTTTATAGTCCCATGTGGAAATATACACACTGGCTTATCTATTATCAACATTATGAAACATGCTTAAAAATATATACTTTTTTAAAACATATAATTTTAGGGGCGCCTGGGTGGCTCAGTAGGTTAAGCCTCTGCCTTTGGCTCGGGTCATGGTCTCAGGGTCTGGGATGGAGCCGCGCATTGTGCTCTCTGCTCAGCGGGGAACCTGCTTCCTCCTCTCTCTCTGCCTGTCTCTCTGACTACTTGCGATCTCTCTCTCTTTGAAATACATAAAAAATAAAAAATTAAAAAGCAAAATGTATAATTTTAAATATATACAGCTAAGCTTTTATTTATTTTAAAATACTTAAGATACTATCTGCCCCTCCACAGTGGCATCTTCCCCCTCATCCTTCCTGTAGGTTCTGTCCTGACTCCCATGCAGGTCCTTCCACCTTTTCTTGCGTTGTCTAGTGTTTCCAGAAGGCACCTCCAGGCAGAGTGAATGCGCCAGGTCACGGTGAAGTGACCACCCCGGGCCCTCCGCCCGCCTGGCTAACACCCCAGGGCTGCCAGGCTCCACTGCACCATGATGTTGCATTCTCTGATGAGGGAGAAACCGGCTCTTAGGAGGGCCTGGCCTCCCATATGCAGCTCCCCACAGTCTGAACTTTTTAATATTTAGTATCACTGTATGCTTACACATACGTAGGAAACAGAACAATGAAACCGCATTTCCCACCCTAATGGAAGCTGGCTGCCAATCCCTGGAAGAGGTAAATACAGAACTGTAACGAGATCAGGAGACTAAAGAACCTCGCCCCAGTTTCCCATCGGGTCTTCACCGAACTAGTGCCATGTACGCTGAGCTAAGGACTCTGATCAATAGCTTAGTCACGCTATACCCAGAAATCCTCAGAATTTAACCAGAGCAGGGAATCAAAGAACTGCCCTTCTACATGCCAGTGTAAACAGAGTACCGCAATTTCCCGTGTTCTCACACTTCTTACAGACATTTCTGCAAGTACTCCTTATCCAACGCTGAACACGAATTCCCGATGTGCTGTTTCAACAGCTCCATCACGGAACTGCCCGGTCTACAAACCTTACGTCCTTCAGGAAACCACCCCGACCCCCAGGCACTGAGGCTACTTTTCCGATGCTGTCGGGTTTCACGGGCAGAGGCGCACCGAGTTGGCCACCGCTTCGCGGCTGCCGCAAGCGCAGCGGTGCGAGCGACGCCAGCCCAAGTGGACACCTGACGAAGCGTTTCGCGTCTGGCAATTGGAAAACGGGGATCGCCGAGGAGACTCGCGAAACCGGCCCCGCGCCAGGGACCCCGCCCCGCGCCAGGGACCCCGCGCGTTCCCCGCCCGCCCGGCAGCCCGTCCCCGCGAGCTGACAGGCGCGCCCGCCCAGGGCGGTGCCGCGGGAGAGGGCGGGGGCCGGAAGGAAGAGGGAGGACTCGGACAAAGCCACCCGGCCGGCCACCCCTCCCCGCGCGCCGCGCTCCGGGGACGGCCGTACCCACCCCCCGAGTCGCGCGGCCCGGGAGTCCGCAGCTGTCCCCGCGAGCCGCCGCCCCGCGCGCAGCGCGGCCGAGCCGGGGTGCGGGGCCGGGGACGCGCCGAAGGGACCGTCCACGCGCAGGGGCCGGGGCCGCAGACCGGGTTGGGGAAGGGGCTGTGTCCGCGGGTGAAGTCTCGGAGGGGCCGCGCCGCGGGGGAGGACCGTGGAGGGGGACCCGGGCGGGGCCGGGCCGGGGAAGAAGACCGCCGCGGACGGGGTCAGGGCGGGGGCCGGACGACTACAGTCGGGAGCGGCCGTGCGGGAGGACGGGGGACCGGGGCGCGGCCGGGAAGGGGGCCGAGGACTCACCGTGCTGCTCCCGCGGGGCCGCGCGCTCGCGCTGTCAGCTCCGAGAGGTCGCGGGGCGCGTGCGCGGAGCAGGACCGCGCGGGGCCCGCAGCCTCGGCTGCCTCAGACGCGACGCCGCGGTCACGAACGAGGGGCCCCGGCGCGGCCGCCCCGCAGCATCCTCGGCCGCCCGCGAGCGCTGTCCCCTGCGGCTCCTCCCCGCAGCCGCCGCCCCGCGCCCGCCTGCTCCGCTCCGCTGCTGCTCCGCCGCTCCCGCCGCCGAAAATGGCGTCTCGGCGTCCCTCCCCCGGCTCGGCGCTCCCGCCCCACAATGCCGCGCGCCGCCGTGACGTCACCGGCCCGCCGCTGGGGGGCGGGGCGCGGCGCGCGGCGCGGAGCCCCACGGACGCGCAGGAAGGGGGCGCTGGGGCGGGGCGGCGCCGCCCTGGACAGCCGCGCCCGCGTCCCTAGCTCCTGCGTGCTCGTCTCCCGAGGGCTGGTCACTGTGTGCCAAGCCCCGTCTTCACGCGTGCGACTCCCGGGAGCCCGCAGGAGGGGCCCTGAGGGCCCGGCTACCCCGCAGGCCTCTCCGGGAAAGCGAGTCTGGGTCGAGACGCGGGCCGCGCGCACATCGTTGGTCCCTCGCTGCCCCAGGATCCTCGAGAATCAGAGCTCCAGAGGAGCCTCCAGGCGCTCCCCTCGGCCACTCAGGCCTCGCACGAGCCGCCCCGCCAGGGCCTGGCCAGGGCAGAGCTGTCGGCCCCGCAGCCGCCCCCCGCGCGTGGCGGCCGCGCCCCGACCTGCAGCCCCCGCCTGAAGGGCAGTCCTTGCAGGCCGGAGAGCGCGCCCGGCCTCCGGCCGCTGCATCCCCGCGCGGCAGGCCTGACTCAGCAGCCAGCCCGGAGCACGCAGGCCGGCTCCGGGGAAGGCGCGGCGGAGCTCACCCGACCACCCCCCCGGGCGCTGCGGCCGCGCCAGGTGCGGGGCCCTGCGGCATTGTTCGCCCGGAGGCCTCGGCCGCGCACTTGCTGTCCAACCGCTGCGCTCTTCAAACTGGCCAGCCCGGCCCCCACGGCCGTTCTGACCCTGGAGTGACACAGTCTCCGCGCGAGTCAGGGGGTGCGACCACGGTGCTATCGGTGCTATGGTGTCAGCGCGGAAAAGCCAGCCGGGAGCGGCGAGGGGGAAGCAGTCAGACCACCTTCCCACGCTCCCTTAGTGATCTGGCCCCACGGCAGCGAGGCTGCCACCTGCTTTTCTACAGGCCCTGAGGGGCTGGGCACTGGCCGCCATCAGGTGCCCTAGAGAAGAGAGGAGCAGGGAGGCTCCTTTCTCTATGACTCTGGGGTTAGCGATTGTCCCCTCCACTCACCCAGAAACCTGACATGCTTGATGTCCTCTTGTAATGATGTCTCCTGCATATTGCTGTGGTCCATCCCTCTCCGTCCCCACTGCTGTCACTCTGTTTAGGCTTTATTATTATCTCGTTCTTTTATTGTCTCAACAAATACTTGTTGAGCAGCAGTGATCCCCACCATGAGAGCCAAGGTGTGCTGGTAAAGAGGATAGGTAAGACCCCGTGCCAGCTCGCACAGTGCCTGCTGCGCGTAGAAAAGTAAGGTAAGGGTGGGGCGGAGTGAACGCCTAAGTGACCGGAAGGGGCCTAAACTGAGCTAAACGGGGAGGGAGAGCACTCCAGGCAAAGGGCCTTAGGCAGGGATGAGTCTGGAGTGATGGGGAGAGGGAGAAAAGGCCAATTCATCCACCACCTCTGCAGGTCCCCTGAATGGGATCCTGCTACTTCCCTCGTGGAAATGCTGTCATGTACCCATCGTCCAGGGCCAGGGGCTGGCGCACAGGCATTTCGGGCCGTCCTCACTCAGAGTCTCATACTGACACTAACAATCACCCGCCATCGCTGGGCAGCCCTGGGCATTCATAGCAGAGAGGCACTGCTACCCCCATGGTTTGCTTGCTGCTTCCAAGGATTAACTCAGCTCTGGGAATCAGAAGGGAGCCGCTCTACACTTCCTATGTGGGCACTAGCAGAGCTGAGGAGAGCCTTTGTGCTGGAAAGCCTCAGCAAGGCTACTCAGGGGTGGCAAATCCATTCTCTGTCCTCCCCACAAACCTAGAGGACCGGGGCCCTGGGAAGCACACACCGGTTGGCACGAGTCCTGGTGGCCTTGAGCATCCTTGTTACCAAGAGCCTGCTGGGCTAGCCAGGGTCCCAGGGGGTCAGCCAGGGTCCTGGAGGGTGGGGCTGTGGTCCACAGGGCAGCACTGGACCTTTGGAGCAGGCTCCCTCCTTGCTCCCTTAAGTGCTCTCCCCTTTTGAAAAAAGGCAGCCTGTACGGGTGGGCCACCTCCTTCTCCTCCTCTCTGTCTCTCCTTCCTCCTGCTTTCCCCAAACGTAGATGCCTTGTCCTCTGCCCTCCTTCCCCTCCTTCCCCTCCTTCTCTGACCCTTTCATTTCCCAGCTGTGAAAGCAGAGAGATCAGCAGACAGCCTGGAGACTGAAACTGGGGCTGTGGCTGTACAGAGTACAGATTTGGAGGTGCCTACAGGACCCAGATGAAGCCAAGGCTGAAGTCCCCTGGTCAAGGAAGAGTGAAAAGAGCCACACGCTAGACTCCTGCTGCTGACCAGGCACCTGGGAGTCAGGGATGACTCAGGAGTGTACAGTCTCCATTCCCGAGATTTACTGAGTCCCACTGGTGTCAGGTGTGAAGCTGGGCAGGGGGAGAACAGACACCCCTACACGGGCCAGCTGCTGTGGAGCTGAGATGGAAAGCTCAGCACTGGCTCAGATGCTGCGGGTGGGGGGGGCGGTTCTGTGACCCTCAAGGGTCAGGGGATTCCTTGGAAGAAGGACATTGGCATGGCAAGTGGGAAGGACCCGGCCGCTGAAGCCCAGTGATAGAAGAGTAGGGAGGAAACCGGGTCCAACACAGAACGAAGGGCACAGTCAATCATCGGTCTCAGCTGAAGCATGGAGAGGGGTCCTGCTTCTCACTGTAACTGTCTGTGGATGTCTCTATCCAGGAGCAGCCCTTTGGAGGAGAATGGGATGCTGGGATTTCCCTTTGATCCCCAGGGGTCTGCTGCCCAGTGGATACCCCAGTCCATTAGGGTCTAAGGAGGAGAGGGTGGGGGGAAGGAGTCCCCAAAGACTGCAGCGTGGGGGGGTGGGAAGTCATTCTTGGGTGAGTGTCCTCGATCCGGTTGGGGCGACCTGTCCGGGCGGTCCCGGCCAGAGAAGGGGGGCCCGCGCACCCCTGGAGAGACAGGCAAGGAAGAGGGTAAGTGCAGGTTGTGTGGCCGGTACCCCCCAGCTTCCGCTGTGCTTCCTCCCCGACGCTCCCACCCGGTTCCCCCCCATTTCAGCTTGGGCACCGCCCCCCAACTCCTGACCTGGGAGCCTCCCCTCGCCCCCTCAGCATGGCACCGCCCACATGCACACTTGTGACCTAGGAGCCTCTCCCACAACCCCTTCAGCCAGGGCAACGCCCCACCATGCCCCTCCAGCATGGAAACCGCCCCCACGCCCTCTCCAGCCTGGGGACCGCCCCCCCACACACCCCTGATCTGGGGGCCTCCCCCGACCCCCTCCAGCCTGAGTACCACCCCCCACACCCCCTCCAGCACGGGAGCCGCCACGACCAGTCCCCCACCCCGGTCCAAGCTGAGTCTGGCCACCCTCAGGTCTCCGTGAAACTCGGACATGGTGGCCGGCACGCCAGGCGCGGGAGGGGCGGCCTGGCCTGGCATCGGGACCGGAACCTGGGGCTGGGGCTACTCTGGGCTGGGCAGCCTCGCTCTCCGCCCAGGTCACACCCTCTCTGGTCCTGAGGCTCCGCCTGGGAAAACAACCTTTACCGGATTTGCGGGGTGTTTTTCCTTTAAGGAGCTGGAGCCCAAGCAGGGACATTAAGCTGCCGGGACTGCTGTCGCTGTCGCAAGGCCAGCGAGAACAGCAGCACTTTGGATGGAAGGAGGAGGACCCTGAGCCTCTCTTGCTCCCATTTCTCTCTGAATGTAGGGCAAGTTAGGCCTGGGTCCTGCTTGGGGAAGCCTGACTGCCCAGGGGTGCCCAGGGTCCCCAGAGAGAATGACCCAGGCCCACGGCACTGCTGACTCGCCCCTGCCCTCCTGCAGTCCGGGCCAGCCTGTTTCCCCAGGAGTGAGGCTGCCCATTCCTGGCCCCAGCCAGGAGCTCTTCACTGTTGTGAAACCCTGCACTGCCCTGCAGAGACACCCCGCCATCCTGGCGCCCGGAGCCCATTTCCGGCTGGCCCTGGGGACACCAGGCCGTAAGGGAAGCTATCCTGGATGGTCCAGCCCCTCACACAGCCCTGTGTGTAGGGCCCAGGATGTCTCCAGATGGGGACTGATGCTCGGACGCAGGCAAGAAGGGCAGCGGTCCTGCTCGAGAAGCAGCACCACAGCCGAGTGTGTGTTTGCACACTCAGCACCCACTGGGGAGCCAAATGTGTCTCTGCACCAGAGCCGTGACACTCCCAGTGCCCAGGAGACTAGCCTATGACATGCCCTCTCACAGAACCATGAGGCAAATGAGAAGACATGCTGGATTTCCACAGTACGTGGCCTGCAGACCTGAGTCATTTTATGCGGCCATCTAAAAGGGTAACGCCCGCACCTGGGAGAAGGCAGAGTGTCTGTTACAGAAACATCGGGGTCTAGTGTGATGGACGTGATGAGAAACCAGCACTGGGAGCTGGGCACCTGGGATTAGGCACAGGTCTTGGAAAACGGACATTCTCCTTGGGGATCCCACCCCATTTTATTATGAAAATATTCAAACGTGTAGAAAAATACGTAGAGGGCACACTGTGCACTACAGTCAACATCTCGCCCCGTTTATCCTGTCCCTGATTTCTCCAGCCCTCCCACTCCACCCCTACACCCGGCGTGTGCGTCTCATGAATGGAGCCCGGCGTTTGTTTCTCGGGGAGCATTTCCACGATGAGCGCGTGTGAAACACACACATCCAAAGTTACCATCCAGCTGACATGTGTCCCTGAAGCCTATCGGGAGGTGGACTGCTGACCCCTCCCTCACGCCCCTTTGCAGTCACTGTTCTGTTCTCTGTTTTGTTGACTGTAGTTTAGTTTTGCCGGCTCTGGCGTTTTACAAAAAGAGAATCCCACAGTGTGTGCCTTTTGGGCCCAGCCCCTGTCACTCAGCCTGCAGCGTTTGTGCCCACCCGTCCTGCCACTCCCCTGTATATGGTCCAGCTCTGGTTAACAAGAATAGAGCTGACTGG